TGTGAAGCAACAAGACCCGATATCTGACTCAAAGTTCCTCCTGAGCCTCAAATGAAGGCACAGATAGTGTATTTGATTAGTTACAGTTACAGAATATTATCAACACTGTAGTGACTGCTGTTCAGAAAGTCTGCTGGAAATGAAAAAGAGGTTTGTGTGTACGCTGAGTGATGAACTGATGCTCCTCCACCTACAGGTATTACTACAAGAGGGAGATTCTGGAGCGGGTTGACGGCAGAAGACTTGTATACAAATTCGGAAAGAATTCCAGTGGCTGGAAGACTGAGGAAATTGGCATGTGAGTCCTTCAGAGGGTAGAGGTCAGAGAGCCAGCCTGGCAGAAAAATCTTTTTTTTTTTGTTTAAACACAAACTTCCTTTTAGCGGGAAGGTGTTGCAGACAATGTAAACCGATGCGTTTGGCACTAGTAGGTTTTATGAACCCATATTTACGATTTTATATTGTTTTCTTTTTCACTGCAAAAACTACAAGCATCATTACATGGATGTTTTTTTAGTTTCTGTAAAGTGTCACATTGATATTTGTACAGAATGATCATATGGTTTTAATATAGGACTAGCTCCTCTAGCTGATAGCACCTACAGCCTCCATCCACTCTGTTACAGACTGTGAGAACTTTCTGTCTTTCTTTGTGGACAAAGTCAATAAGGTTAGATCTAGCATCTCTCCTTCAGCCTTATCGCTGCCTCTCCTGACTCCAACCAGGCCCATCGTCCTAGATAGCTTTGCTCCTGTTTCTTTGCCTGAGTTAACCAAACTAGTTAACTCTATGAAGACCTCTGCATGCCCCCTCCACATCTTACCCTCATCTTTGTTTAAAAGTGCTTTTCAGTCCATCGGTCCCAGCGTGCTCTCTATAATTAATGCTTCTCTGGTCTCTGGTCAGGTCCCTGCTTACTTTAAGAACGCTGTAATCCACCCGCTTCTTAAAAAACCGAGTCTCGACCCCTCTCTCCATAGCAGCTTCAGACCCATCTCTAAACTTCCGTTCATCTCCAAGATCTTGGAAAAGGTTGTGGCTAAACAACTCACAGCTGCTCTTGATGAACATAACATCTATGATAGCTTCCAGTCAGGTTTTTGTAGAGCTCATTCTACTGAAACAGCTCTTCTTAGGGTCTCTAATGACCTTCTGGCTCACAGTGATGCAGGGGACTGTTCTGTTCTGGTCCTGCTGGACCTGACTGCAGCCTTTGACACTGTTGACAATCACCTGCCACTGGAGAGGCTGAGAGACTGGGTAGGCCTATCAGGATCTGCTCTGGAGTGGTTCTCCTCTTATCTCTCTGAGCGCTCCTTTTCTGTGGCCGTCTCCAAGTTTAGGTCCTCCACCACGTCTCTCACCCATGGTGTCCCACAAGGTTCTGTGCTGGGGCCTCTGCTCTTCCTCCTCTATCTGCTTCCTCTTCAGCACATCCTGAGCTCCTTCAAAGGAATCTCCTACCATCTTTATGCAGATGACATCCAACTGTACATCTCCTTTAAGCCCCATGAGATGTCTAAGCTGCAGCTGTTACACACCTGCTTAGACTCTATCAAAACCTGGGTGACTGGGAACCCTAACCCAGGCTAAAGACCAAAGAAGAAGAAAGTATCATTTCTATAGCACCTCTCAAGATAAAAATCACGAGGCGCACAAAGGTGACAGATCATCTGCTGCTGTGGCCCCCAGACTCTGGAACTCTCTCCCCCTGAGCCTGAGATCAGTGGACTCAGTGGTCTCCTTTAAAAAGCAGCTGAAAACTCACCTGTTCAAGCTGGCTTCTGGTGTTACTTCATCACCCTCTCCATGTTCTGCTCTCCCTACCTATTCCACCTTCCTCAGGATCCACTGATTTCCCTCTTTCCTATTCACTCTCTCTCCCTTTTTTCCCATGTTTTTCTTTTCTCCTTTAAAATTAATTTAAAATATTTCTAATCATTTTAGAAATGATTTTATACTTTAATATTTTTTTGCTTTTGTGAAGCGCCTCATGATTTTTATCTTGAGAGGCGCTGTATAAAAGATTGTCTTCTTCTTCTTCTTCTTAGGTTTTGTTTGGGGTTATTTGGGAGTCTTCTACTTTATCAGTGTATTAGAAATGTCTTGTTTCCTTTCCCTTAACTGGTTTAAGGTTTTCCTTAACTGTAAACCTGTTGAGGATCAAAATGTAAGATGTAAAAAATACACCAGAATGGAGGGAAATTAATGTAGGTGATCTTATTTCAAATTAACAGTACACTACATAACTATTTGTATGACTTGCTATATAAAGTGCACCTCCACGATGTGTTAGATTTTTTTGGTGATGATTCAGTATGATCTGTGTATTTTGGAAATAAGTATAAAGTATCATGTAATTTGCATTGATGAATGTCAAAGTTTTACAATGTGCTTCTCATTCACCCATGATGAAGTAAAACTGATTTTAAATCATTTTTTAAAGAATAGTTCACAACTGTGTTATGATACTTTATTTTAATAAAGCATGAAAAGCTCCATCTTTAGTTTGTTGCTTTTTTACCCAACATGACGCACCAAAACACGTCAAATGTAGTTTATGAAATTCTCTACTTGTATTTGGTGAAGGTTTCACCCTCTATGGCTGTTCGTTAGTGGGTCAATCCCACTGCATCAGCATTTCCTGAAGGGCTTTGGTCCATGCTCATCTGCTGGGTGGGCCTCCCCCAGTCAATTCAAATTTATTTATAAAGCGTGAAATCACGACAAGCGTCGACTCAAGGCGCTTCACATAATAAACATTCCAATACAGGCCAGTTCATTAAGCCAGTCAGTAAAAAGTTCCCTATAGAGCTCCGGGAGTTGACGTCACTTCTCCCGGCATGCAACAGTTCAAATCGAAACGGCGCCATATTGGCATGCAGAAGCCGGCAGCTGGACTATTTGTTATTGTCGGAAAACTCAATCAAACGGGAAATATGGTAGATTCCTGTTGTGCCCCAGGATGCAGAACAGACACGGACGACATAAGGAATGAGCCATCTACAGGATTCCCCAAGATCCGGAGCGCCGCAAACGTTGGATCATTGTAATAAAACGCGCTAGTGACCGGGCTAAAATGAAGCTGTGGGATCCCGAGAGTAAAGGTTTTCGCTTTTGCAGCGACCGCTTCATATCAGGTAGTTAAACCAACGTTTCCTCAACTGTGTGTGGTATTTATTTTAAATGCTTTTATTACGATTCTTAGTGGGCTTCCTAAACTTATTTTGGCGTGGCTTTTTCTGTCTTATTACTCATAGCAGCAGGTAAACATCACGTAAAACGTTGCCTCATGAGTTCTGCGTGCTGCCGTTTACGTGTTTTATGATCACAGCAATTAACCGGCTAAGCTGTATTTAATTTTTAACCAATGGTTGATCAATTGTCAGATCACACAAAAAGCACTTTGGATTGCTATTATCTGTCTCACCGAGACTACTTACGTGTAAATCTGTTATTTGTCCGTCCATCCATCCATTTTCATCCGCGTATCCGGAGTCGGGTTGCGAGGGCAGTAGCGTGACTTCCCTCTCCCCAGCCACCGGAGCCAGCCTCCTCCGGCTGGGGGAATCCCAAGGGCTTCCCCAGTCAGGTCCGGTGTTGTGCCGGTAAGAAGCCCGCTCCGACAGCTTCTGGCGTCGGAGCGGGCAGTAGAGTCGAGAGTCCCAGACCTTCTCCCCAGCTCCTCCGGCTGGGGGAATCCCAAGGGGTTCCCCGGCCAGGTCCGGTGTTGTGCCGGTAAGAAGCCCGCTCCGACAGCTTCTGGCGTCGGAGCGGGCAGTAGAGTCGAGAGTCCCAGACCTTCTCCCCAGCTCCTCCGGCTGGGGGAATCCCAAGGGGTTCCCCGGCCAGGTCCGGTGTTGTGCCGGTAAGAAGCCCGCTCCGACAGCTTCTGGCGTTTTTAAAAAGTATCCCAGGGGCACGGTAAGGGTTGGAGATGTTTAGTCTATTTAATTTCTGACTATATGAAACGATTTCTTCGGTTTTAAAGTGTGAAGTAAACTCCGACGAAGTAAAATCCAAGCGTATCCCGTTCATGTTCATGGTTACATCCGTGTTTGTTTACCTTTTTTGCATGCCAAAATGGCGTCCACTAACTGAGAGTCACGTGGGGTCCGGAGCTCTATATACTGAACCCAGCAGGTTGCATCGAGTCACTGACTAGTGTCAGAGTCTTTGCAGCAATCCTCATACTAAGCAAGCATGCAGCAACAGTGGAGAGAAAAACTCCCTTTTAACAGGAAGAACCCTCCAGAGAATCCTGGCTCATTATAAGCAGCCATCCTCCACGACTCACTGGGGATGGAGAAGACAGAGCAGACACACACACGCACACACACACACACACACACACACACACACACACACACACACACACACACACACACACACACACACACACACACACACAGACAAAGTGATGTGTCTATAGTTACATTGTAATTTCTTAGTAAATATTCTGTTTGGTGAGAGATAAACTTTATTGTATTTATCCTAGTGGATCTATAATTAAACGGGTAAACTAGTAGTAGCACATCCAACGTCAAAGAGAGTAAAAAGTTATTATCAGGAGAGGGAGAATGTTTAAGTGGTTAGCAGCAGTGTGCTAGACGATGGCCCCCTCCATGAGGCCACCACAGCTCAGCAGAACATCGTTGTAGCTTCTTCTGGGGAGAAAAACACTTAGAGAGAAAATAAAGTTAACAGCTGAAATAGCAGGAAATAATACAGTTAAAGAGCAGATTGTAGAAGAAAGCAGTAGAGTGTGGAAAGTGGTCAGTGTGTCCTCCAGCAGTCTAAGCCTATAGCAGCATAACTACAGAGAAAACTCTGGATAACCTAGCCTTTTAGATGGAGGCATGTTGGAGGCGGGGCAAGGGAGAGCCGTCTTTACCGACTGTACACTCCACCTCCCTCTACTCCCCCCACTTGTCCAGATTTAGGCTAACATCAGATTTTAACCATAGGCCCTATCAAATAAAAATGTTTTAAGCTTAGTCTTAAATGTAGACAAAGTGTCTGCCTCACGGTCTAAAGCTGGGAGCTGGTTCCACAAGAGAGGAGCCTGATAGCTAAAAGATCTGCCTCCCATCCTATTTTTAGATGTTCTGGGAACCACCAGTAAACCTGCAGTCTGAGAGTGAAGTGCTCGGTTAGGAACGTATGGAACAATCAGATCACTGATGTATGATGGAGATTGATTGTTAAGAGTGTCATGTCCAGCAATGGTCAGGTTTTAGGTACATTTTGACCATTCAAATCTGGTCAAACTGGAGACACGAGACTGCATGTGTTCCCTTTAATCTGCCTGCCTTCATCCATCAGCTGGAGCTCAGAGCCTCTCTGCAGCTCTGAACACATGATAACATGTTGTAAACAATGATGTTCTCTCCTCAAGGCCCAAGCTTCCCTTATCGTCCTACAGGATTCTTCATGCCTCTGAATAAGTGAACACTCGCAGCTCAGATTAGTTGCTAAATCAAAGAATAATTTCTTAGATTAAATATGAACTTCTAAAACTTATAAGTTAGATAATCATTAAATAAACATTTGTTTATTGCTACAATTATAACATAAATGAAATGCTTTCATTAATCTGTGCTTGAGTGACTGAAGTTTGAAATGAATGTTTACATTGAAAGATTTATATATGTTTCAGCATGTTGCTATGGCAAGGCCATCACCATCCACACTCACACAAGGACAAAGTAAAGTGAAGTCAAACGCGTGACACATAGATATTTCTTTATCCCAGATCAGAGCATCCGGTTTCTGAGAAGGCGTGTTTCGGAGGTTGCCTTGGTAATATTCCTCACTATGTCAACCTCTGGTTGGCCACACAAATCATAACATGAGAACATTAAAACAGGATCACTTCCAGCTCTACAGTTCTAGAGGAAGCTACAGAAATGGCCGTCCGTGGTGAAGTCTCTTTAACTAAGAAGTAGCTTTGACACGCTGTCAAGGTTGTTGCAAAGCTGACACAGCAATTGGATCCTGCAGAACAAGCTGATTTGGTTCTGACTCCTTAAGGGTCTAGACGCAAATGGTTCCATCCAACCTGTGTGCCTGGCGACATCTCTGGATGGGAGAAGTTGGTGCTGTGGTCAATCTACTGGACCTGGGTGCTAAGAGGTCACCTGACCTCGATGACCTCCTGATCCGTGAAGAGGGTCTCCAAAGGGGTGAGGTAGAACACAGTGTGATTGCATCTGATGCTTTTTGATAAGAATTAACTTCATAGCTTAACACAAACCAAATTATTTTACACCCAGAACTCAGCTTTCCTAGATACAGAAGTTCTGATAACATTGCATTCACACGTAGGCACCATATACCACATCTAGATTCATCCATCACAGTAAATATTAACTTGTCATGTTTTAATTGTTTGTGAATTAAATTCTTACCTTTACAAACCTGACTCTTTCCTTGAGTCAAAACGAAGTGTTTACAATCCCTGAATAAAACAAAGAATCCTAGAATCTTCTGATTAAACATAGTAAAGACCGACCAGGCAGGTTGATATTCTATATTTATATAGAGTATCACAGTTTGTTAGTCATAAGTAAAGGTAATAGATATTGAGCTCTTAAAGCACTCAATTTACCCAACCCTACAAGAGCTTTATATGTGAGAAGAAGGATCTTAAAATCTATTCTGAATTTTACAGGTAGCCAATGTAGGGGAGCTAAGACAGGAGAGATATGATCTCTCTTTTTAATTCTCATCAGAACTCTAGCTGCAGCATTTTGGACAATGTGAAGACTTTTATTCTGTGGACTTCCTGAGAGTAATGAATTACAGTAATCCAGTCTTGATGTAATAAATGCATGAACTAGTTTTTCAGCATCACTCCTGGAAAGGATGCTTCTAATCTTAGCAATATTCCGAAGGTGGAAAAAGGAAATCCTACAAACATGTTTAACGTGGGATTTGAATGACATGTCCTGGTCAAAGATAACACCAAGGTTCCTTACTTTGTTCTCGGAGATTAATGTAATGCCATTCAGGTCAGGTGATTGACTAAGCAATTTCCTTTTCTGGATTTCAGGTCCAAAGATGAGAACTTCCGTCTTGTCTTGATTTAAAAGCAAAAAGTTTAGAGTCATCCAATTTTTTGTCTTCAAGACAAGCCTGTAGTCTACCTAACCGATTAGGTTCATCAGGGTTAATGGATATATATATAACTGAGTATCGTCAGCATAACAGTGGAAGTTTATCCCATGCTGTCTAATGACTTTACCAATTGGGAGCATATATATAGTAAAAAGAATTGGTCCAAGCACTGAACCCTGTGGTACTCCGCAAGTAACCCTGGAGTATGAAGAAGATTTGTCATGTACATTTACAAAATGAAATCTGTCAGACAGGTAGGATTTAAACCAGCCTAACGCTGTTCCTTTGATCCCTACAACATGTTCAAGTCTTTCTAAAAGAACATTGTGATCAACTGTGTCAAAGGCAGCACTGAGATCTAACAAGACTAGAACAGACAC